AGCACAGCGGAGATCGCAGAATCCCTCGTGCGCGGCGCAGCCTGGGACCCGGGATCTTTTGTGTAGAAGCGATCCACGGCTTGACTACCTGACCTCTCAACCGTCGTTGCGGAGGCTGAAACGGGCCGAGGAAAAGATCCCCACTCCTCTTTCTCTCACTTTCCCTTTCTGTCGGAGGACTCCTATCCCTAGCTCAGGTTATCACCTTCCCTTTAAGAAGCCTAGCTCACCTGTAGGCGTAGCTCGGTTACCTGACCCAGGTGGCTACAGAGAGCAATCTAGCAGGAGGAGGAAGTGGGCGCAGCAGTATGTCCGCCTCGGCAATTTTCATTCTTGACCTGAAAGGCAAGGTGAGTCGAGCCCCGCGTCTTTATCGTGGGGCTGAGATGTTTGTGTGTGGCTGAATCTCTGAAGAACAGCTTGCCAAAGAGCGATAAAGTTTCTCAAACACTCCCCCCCCCACCCCTGCCGACTCTTCTTTGCATGTGCACTTCTGGTAGATCAAGGTTTCTCATAGCTGAATAGAAACGGAAGGTACTAGGGGAGGAAAACGGAAGGTACCGGGGGAGGAAACCCTGACCTTCTGGGAGAAGATGAGAACCCAGGTGTCCTGGCCATGTCCTGCTATTGCTTAGGCCACCTGTCCCTCCTTTGTCAGAAAAGCACCTAAAGAGCCCTGGCGACTATTGCCCCTATATCGCCATCCCTTCTTGCTGCTGCTTCCACCCTCTGGGCTCTACTGCAATTTTACTTCCAGGTTCAAGAGTCGGGACCAGAATTAGGAGGGGAGGGTTCCATTCTCCAGCAGTGTTTGCTCCATCTCCTACCCCTGGCCCTGAGCTGGAGCCTGAGAGCACTTACCAGAAAATCCTTCAGTGCTGTGCAGATTGCCCTTTGGCCCTCATTCTCTAAATTGCCTATGGATGGGCCACATCTGAAATAGTTGGCCTTGTGTTTAAAGAAGGAGATTCCAACCCTCAAGCCAGCAGGCTTGCTCACTTCCACCATGTTGCTGGTGCTAAGTACAGACACCTGTTATACCAGCCAGGTTGTTGAAAGAGCAGGGAACCTGGAACATGACAGCTGAGTGAGAGCAGGGCTATCACTGCGGTGAAGTAAAAAAGAAGCATGGAAACTTTCCATAAAACAACCATCTGCAAAATGGTGCCCTCTGTATGTTCTCTAGGCTTCTGTTCTCATTGGCTATTTTTGGCATCACCAATGCTTAGTAATGCTAGGAACTGTAGTCCAAAGCATCTGGAGGGCAGCAGGCAGGCAGAGTTGCCATGCATTCACTGACCACTCCTGGCGTCACACTGTGCGTCACTGACTGCTACTGCCAGAGGTGACCATGGCTGAATCTTAAAAAGAAGTAGCAGACACATTAATGGAAGATGAACATCCTTTAGCAATGCTAAAGAAAGTGAGGGAAAGTTCTGCATTTGTCCTGGACCTACTATAGCACAGGTATGGGACCCAGGGTGGTCTAGGGCAGTATTCTGCAACTTTGTGGTATCATTTATTCATTGTCTGAGGCTGAGCTAGATAATTCAGCATGGGAAGGTAGCCTGAGAAACCTGTGTCTAAATCTCCTGGATGCACAGTGGTGACAGGCTGAGTGAGAACAGTGATGCATCTTTAGCCCGAACAGAAGGGCAGCTTACAGCAATACATGTTCCATTAATGCATAGCTGATACTACTTTACCACTTTTCTTTCCCACAGCCACTAATCAGCCGTAACTATAAGGGGGATGTGAGCATGTCAGAGATTGACTACTTCATGCCACTCCTAATGCAGAAGGAGGAAGAATGTGCTTTGACACCACTCCTGTCCCATGGAAAGATCCACTTCCTCTGGATCAAGCACAGCAACCTCTATTGTATCCTTTCAGCATCTGATCTAATCAACCATGTGATGCCAGAACCCTTTCACACCATTTGCATTAGGCAAAGTCCAGTTGTGTTTTACCAATACTCAACAGAGATGATTTACAAGCGCCTTGGCTTTGTGGGCATGCCTTGGAAATTGTGCAGCGCTACTGGGTGCCAGGAACAAGCGAGCTGAGAATAAATGCTTGAAAAATGACAAGGGCAATTGTCAAAACTTGGTGGCCTCTAGAAGGGTTGTGCTACAAGTCCCAGCATCCTCTAGCCAGCCGTACTGGTGGAGGAGGCTAGGACTTTCAGTGCAGCCCTCCTGGAGAACACCAGGTTGGGGAAGCCTCGCCTTTAGCACGTGCAGGACTGTCTATTTTATTTAGTTATTTAATGTCTTCTCTGGGTGATTTACAAAATACTAGAACAGAACAAAACCCAATCACAATTTAGCAATAAAATACTACAGAGAACCTCTCCCCTGCCCCTAACAGCAGCCACATTCAGATTAAAGCATTCAAATTATTCAAGAAAAGCTCTAGCATAGTAGCAATGATATAGTACTAGTATAAATGAATGAATGAATAATAAAAATAATAAAAGCTGTTTTAACTATTAAAATATTGGGTAAGTAAAAAAAATTTTGCCTGGTGCTGGAAAGAATAAAGAGAAGGTGCCAGGTGAACCTCTTTGGGGAGTTGATTCCAAAGTTGGGGGGTCATCGCTGAGGAGGCTAAGGAGACCCTTCCCCTTGTAGCCACCCTCTTCATATCTTTTAGAGGAAAGACATCTTTTGCTTGCTCTGCTAATACTCAGAGGAGGAGAGGATTGTGGACTTCTCTCTGTTCTAAGGGCAAGTCAGCTGAGCTGTGGACACCACCTCCCCCATCTACCTTCATCACCCACCTGCTGTTGGCCTATAAGGCCTCAGTGAAATCTGTCAGTGACTTTCCCCCATCATTGTGTTCAACTGTAGCTCCTGTAGTGTCCTGCTAGCATGGGATGCTACCTGGGGTAACTGGGGTTGTAGTCTAACACATCCGGAAAGTACCACCTTGGTTAAATTTCTTGGCTAGTACTTTGGCTTCCAGTCCTCACTGCCCAGAGCTACCTTATCTCTTTTATTCATGTCCAGCCATCCTTTGTCTTGTGATTTGCCTGTTCAGCCTGGCCCTACCTGTGTTTTTACTTTGGCACACTGCTTATGGACCCCTGCCCAGCTACTTGACCCCAGCACATAACCCTTTTGCCACAGAGCTCCTCACAGCCAAAGAATCATATAATATAAAATAGTAGAGTTGGAAGGGGCCATGAAGGTCATTGGGTCTAACCCCTTGCTGTTGCAGGAGACCAGTTTACACCATCCCACTCAGATGGCTGAGCAGTTTCTTTTTACATGTCCCTAGTGTGGGAGAGCCCACCAACTCTTTAGGCAGCTGGTACCACTGTCTCTGACAGAGAGGAAGCTTTTCCTAATATCTAGCCTGAATCTGGGTTGTCTCAGCTTGACTTAGAAACATAGAAACAGAGCAAGTCAGAAGGGGTCTCCTGTTCTCTCAGTCTCTCCTCATAGGGCAGTGTTTCCAAACCCTGGATCATTTTTGTTGCCCTCTGCTGGACCCTATTATTTCTGCTTCTTTTTAAAATCTTGGTGCCCAGAACTGGACACAATATTCCAGATGAGGTCCAACTAGTGAGGCATATAGGGGAACTACTATGATTTGGAAGTAATACTTCTGTTAATGCATCCCAAAATAGCATTTGCCCCTTTGGCATCACATTCTTGGCTCATACTTAGCCTATTGGTCACAGTTACTCTGAGATCCTTTTCTTTTTCAGCTTTGTTGAGCCACGTATTCTCCACCTTGTATCAATGCATTTGGTTTCTTTTTTCTAGCTGGAGGACTTTGTACTTGTCCCTACTGAATCTAATTCTGTTGCTTTCAGCCCAGTGTTCAAGTTTATCAAGATCACCCTGGATCTTCATTCTGTCTTCTAGAATGTTTGCAATTCCACCCAGTTTTGTATTGTCTGCAAATTTGATTATCTTTCCTTGTGCTTTCTCATCCAAATCATTAATAAAGATGTTGAAGAGCACTGGGCCCAGGACTGAACCCTGTGGCACCCCACTAGTTACCTCCATCCAGTGTGAGAAGGTGCCATTTATGAGCACTCTTTGTGTCTGGTTCCGCAGCCAATTTTACATCTGCTAAATAGTTTTTCTATCTAGTCCAGTTTTTGCTAATTAGCTTATCAGAATGAATAGACATCCCAGCTTCTTACTTGCTTGCCTGAGCCAGGCTGCATGCTGGCTGGCATAACTCATAGGCTCAATATGACTTGAATGTCAGTACACATGTGCACACCCATTAGTGCTTTTAAATTATGGCAAAATAGAACTAGGAGGTCCTGCATTTCTGAACCTCATTAGAAAGATGAGGAAAGAAGAAAGATCATAAAATCATAGAATAGTAGGATTGGAAGAGGCCAAGAACGCCATCGGGTCCAATCCCATGCTCAGTGCAGAACTCCCAAATTGAACCCTCCCCGACAGATGACTGTCCAGCTGCCTCTTGAATGCCTCTAGTACAGGAGAGTCCACAACCACACTGGGTCATTGGCTCCACTGCCATACTTCTCGATGTCAGGAGGTTTTTCCTGATGTCCAGCTGGAATCTGACTCCCTGTAACTTGAGCGTTTTACTCCATGTCCTGCACTCTGGGATGATCAAGAAGAGATCCCCTCTTTCCTCTTTGTGATGACCCTTCAGGTCCTTGAAGAGCGTTATCATACATCGTATGTGGAGCAGTACAACAATGGAACCAATGACCTAGGGAGACTGTGGGCATTCCTGCACTTGGAGGCTGTCCAGGTTGCAACTGGACAGCCATCTGAGAGGGATGGTTTAACTCTGAGTCCTGCACTGAGCAGGGGATTGGACCTGATGCCCTCTTCCAACTCTAATATTTGATGGTTATAGGGATGCAAGTGAGCATGGGAGGAACTCAGAAGTAAGGATTGCAGTCCCCTATGTCAGTTGTAGACATATGTTCCCTTTGCCCCTGCAGTGGGTTGAGGCCCCATTGGGATTCCTCTTCCTACCCCACTCCCATACCAACAGCTTCAGAGCTGTGGCTGGGACAGAAAGAAGTGCAGCGAGTGGGGGGAATGCTCTGTGGTGTCCCAGCTCTGATCTTGGAACACGTTTCCTATGTCATAGATGCGACCCTGGGTTATCCCAGGGCTGGCTAGTTCAGACGTTGCTGTGGGATCACGCACTAGATGTCATTCATTTCAATAAGTCTGCTTGAGGTAGGGCATATGTTGGTAGAGGGGCACAATTATAAGGTTTCTTCCCGATGAACTGAAGCCATGATCATTGGGTGGCAATGATCACTGAGGAAAAGTGTGTGAAGCTCTCTAAGCTCAATGGACTATAAGAACTTTTCATGAGGGACTTAATCAAAAGGTTTTATGGAAGTGGAAAATGGAGTGGGGACAGCGGTTGTCAAATGATCTAGCATTCTCTTTACAGAAGTTCTGCAGATTCTTTTTCCTCAAGATGTGTCCGACTGTTCTAGTGTTTAAATTTGTGCTTTGTACCAATTTATGTTTTGGGAATAGTTAATCCTGGATAACCCTCTTCCTTCCTGAATATAGCATATATTCCTTCCTGAATATAGTATATAGTACTGATCATGGGAGACCCAAAGGGGAAAAAATGGAAAATTCTCTCGAAATGCACCATCAAAGGAAATGATAGCTTTATACAATCTGCTTTCCTTGTCTTAAGGAACTACATGAGCATTAATGTGGTAAAATAGATCAGGTGTGCATCCACTCTTACAGTGTTTTAAAAAACACTCACCAAACTTTTAAAAGTAGTGCTATGGCTTTCTGAGCACTGCATGAGCAGGTCTGTATCTCCTCATGTGTGATGGTGCATGCTCTTTCCAATAAATATCTAGAGCAGTAGTGGGAAACCTGTGACCCTCCATATGTTAAGACTACAGGTTCAGTTATCCCTGGCTACTGGTAATGTAATTTGGGTTGATGGGAACTGGCGTCCAACAATAATGAGAAGTCCACAGTTTAGCACCCCAAATTTGGACAATCACACAAAACATACATCTCAGTGAGTAGTGCTTGTTTTCTTCTGGGTTGGCAAAACTCTCTTTCAAAATTTATTATTATTATTATTATTATTATTATTATTATTATTATTACTATTACATTTCTATGCCGCCCCTTGCCGAAGCCTCAGGGCGGCTTACAACACAATAAGATACATTGAAATAAAATAGAACATAATAAATTACCACTAAATACAAAAATACGAAAAATACACTGAGATACAATAATATAAAATTAAAATTAACAGTATAAAATAAGTAAATAAAGAATATAGGAGGAGAAAGAGAAGGAAGAAGAAGTTGCCCTGGCCAGATCATATATTTTAACAATTAAAATGATGTTTAAATAAAAAGGTCTTTACCTGGCGCTGGAAAACCAGTAACAACGGTGCCAGGCGGACCTCTTTGGGGAGTGAATTCCATAGGTTGGGCGCCACCACAGAGAAAGCCCTCCTCCGAGTACTTACTCTCCTAATTTCTTTCATGGAGGGTTCCCGGAGAAGGGACTCTCCCGCAGATCTCAAAGGGCGGTCGGGCATATACGGACGTAAGCGCTCGTTCAGGTAGCCCGGACCCAAGCCGTTTAGGGCTTTATAGGTCATAATCAACACCTTGAATTGGGCCCGGGCTTCAATGGGCAGCCAGTGAAGCTGACGGAGGACTGGAGTCATGTGAGCATAACGCCCCATCCCCGTCAGCAACCTGGCAGCTCTATTTTGCACCAATTGAAGTGTTCGGACTATCTTCAGGGGAAGCCCCATGTAAAGCACGTTACAGAAGTCTAGGCGGGAAGTCACCAGCACGTGTGTCACTGTCGCCAGGCAGTCATACTCCAGGTAGGGGCGCAGCTGATTAATCAGCCAAAGCTGAAGGAAGGCGTTCCTCGCTACCGCTGCCACCTGAGCTTCCAAAGAAAGCTCTGGGTTGAGGAGTACTCCTAAGCTGCGGACCTTATCCCTAAGAGGGAGTGTTG